ATCCAGCTCTACACCTTGTTATCTCAGATTCTCCAGCATCTGCAGTTGCTACTATCTCAGAATGTGTACTGGTATTCTTTGCTTCATTTTAAAGGAACAGAAATGAAAAGCAAACTTAAATTAAAACTGAATCTTGTTTAGTCTACACTTGGATAATTTTGCTCAGCTCTAGTGTCCATATTTTAAAAATTTGCAGAGGCATTGCAGACAATGCAAAAAAGATTCACAAAGATACTACCACAACTGAGAAATAAATCACTGGAAAGGCTCAACATAATTGTGCTCCTCTGTTGAGAATAGAGAAGGCTGAGGGGTGACTTGATGGAAGACCATAAGACTGTGAAAGGGTTTGATAGGACAGACATACGGAAAGTATTTCACCTTGTGGTGGAAACCCAAAAACAGAGGTTATGATTGTAAAATAATCATTAATAAATCAAATTGAGACTGTTGGAGCAATTCTTTACTCAAACAGTGTTTGGTAAGAATGTGGGACGTTCAACCACAAGTGGTTGAGTTGAATAGCTTGCATACATTTTAAGGGGAATCTAGTTGAACATGTGAAGGAAAAATGAAGAACTAAGTAAGCTGATGAGTTAGATAAAGACAAATGGATAGAAGTTTGAAACAAACAAACAAAATCGGAAATTGCTGGAACCAATTCTGAAGAAGGGTCATGTTAACTCTGTTTCTCTCTCCACAGATGCTGCCAGACCTGCTGAGATTCTCCAGCAGTTTCTGTTTTTGTTTGTTTCAGATCTACAGCTCTTGCAGTTCTTTGTTTTATTTTGTGGATAGAAAATTCTGTTTTGTACAAACATCTGCATAATCATCAGCTGGGCTGAATGGCCCATTTCTGTTTTGTGGACCTCGCGTAATTCTATGATAGATTGACAGTTCTAAACTATCAGTTTTGCTGAAGGAGGTCTTGATTTACCTTTCTGTTAATTGTTTTCCAGGTATTTCTTACCCAAGTCACTGGTGAATGACCATTCCTCCACTGAAGGTAAATTAAGGTAAATCATATTTTATTTGGTAAACTGGTTAGATAGGGAGAAAAGGCCAATATTCCAGTCCATTTTGTATCAACCTATTAGCACAGACCGGAATGTACATTCTCTTTATATTTGAACAGCTAGCAAAATTATGAGCACTGCTCATGGCAAAGAAAGCATCCAAAGAATAATATTTAATCTCCAGGATCTAACTCCTTCTTCAATGATTCCAGAGTTTCTTCTCCCATTGCTTGTCAGATATTAATCACGTTGAAGATGAATCTTTTAACATTAGCGTTGTTTGTACTATGAGGTAATTAAATATTATTAATATTGATATTCAGTGTGAAACGTTAATTTCCATCAGTAATCGTTTAATGGCTGATGAAATTGAGTGTGTGAGAAATCTCTATTTATATTTGACTTTTTGTGTCTGTAGAGATAATTTAAATGCTTACACAGTGACACTTCCCCTGATCTTGCCACGGTTCTACCCTGATCTCTTCATGCTGTATATGCTGTACCATGAGACAGAAGATTCACTGTACTGGAAGGGAATACTGCATCTGGAACATCTCTCTGACACCAAGCTGCTGGAATTTCTTGAAGTACAAAAGTAAGTGTGGACTACTGGAACTGCAGCCTTTCACTTAAGGTGCTTAAGTCACCTTGCATAAGAAAGAAATTGCATTTATATTGCACCTTTTAGAAAGTCTGAACACCTTTTTAAAGTGCTTTGCAACCAGGTATTTTGAATTACTGTTGTAATTTAGGGAGATGTGGTAACCAATCTGGTACAGCAATACAGCTCAAACTAATGAGACAAATGATCAGTTAATCTATTCCTGTGATATTGACTGAGAGATAAATAAGTGCATGAGAGCTGACTTCTCTTATTCAGATCATATCATTACATTCTTTTACATCCACCTGAGAGCAGGTGGAACCTTTGCTTAATGTCAGTTAAAATATTTCAACTCAAAGTCCAACTATTGGAATAAAGATCACTTGATTTGAAAACAAGGATCTCAGTCTAATTTCAATGGGGGAAAAAATATCACAGGATAAAAGTGTCTAGAATTTGGCATTGGTTTGAAATTACTTGAGAACAGAAAAGGAGAACTCCACGAAGTATGGAATTAAGGTAAATTATTGGATAACATATGAGAACATAAAACATAATGCACGAAAAAGTATTGGTAGTGATGAGTCTCCAGTATGAGTATATATTCTTTTATGAATTCTATTATTATATATTTAACAAGCTGAAGGAGTTTATTGCAAAACAAAGACAGAGTTGTTTTGAGGTGCTTTGTCATACTTCGCTCAAGCACCACCGAGCACTGACCATCCAAAGTGTTATTTTGAAGTGATTTTTGTCAGGAAGGCAATACGGGTAATCATTTTAGCCCTAGCAGGACACCACCAATGTCAAAAATATGAAAAACAATACGTTGTTGACCAGATCTATTCTTTGCTTGACAGCAGCTTGTTTTTCAGGACTTTGTGTCTTCCTCTTGCATCTATTTGAGCCATGAGAACAGGGATATGTATGAACTTATAAACTAGGAACAGGAGTAGTCCACTCAGCCCTTCAAGCCTCTTCAACAAAATCACGGCTGAACTGATTTTAATTCAACTCTCCGATAACCTTTTATCCCTTGGTAATCGAGAATCCATCTACCTCTGCCTTAAAAAAAATTAAAGATTCTGCTTCCATTTCCTTTTGAGGAAGAGGGTTCCAAAGTCTCTCTACCCTCCTGAGGAAAATGAATCTTGTCTTAAATGGGCAATCCATTATTTTTAACCCCTCATTCCAGATTCTCCCACAAGAGGAAACATCGTTTTCACGTCCACCTGATCAAACTACTCCTCAGAATCTCATATCTTTCAATTAAGTCCCTTTGACTCTTCTCAGCTTTAGAGGATACAGGCCTATCAGGTCCAGGGACTCTGCATCAGCATTTCACACAAAGCTGTTGATTTGTTTGGACAATTCCCTTGTGCTTATTAAGGTCCAAAGATTCTGAAATGAAAGCTGCCAGGTAACTCATAATGAAGTAAACACTGTTAGGGTTACAGGGTTCTGTTCAAAGAACATGCATTATTTAAATATCTGCCATCAGTGTGACATAGTGCACTTCAAAACTTTATTGATTGAGTTAAGAAAACCCTGAGAAATTATATAAAGTGAGACTATGCAAATACAACTGTTATTGTTGTTAGGTCAGATTGTTCAGTCTGATTCTGAGGAAGAACTTTGCCAAAAATCTGAACAATATTGGAGTAATTGAGAACTGTTGCATTTTATAGGGTGAGTGCCTCATCACCTGACTTTAGCTCATCGCCTGACTGCCCAAATTATTAGGTGCAAGTCATGAATATGATTTTAAAAATAGTCTTGTCCTGAATATCTTTATCATTGTATTCCTGTCTAATTCACAGAGACTTGTGGCCTCTTCAAGATATCCATCTGACAAGCAAACAGGTTAGAATACAACAACTTCCTTTTACCTGGATTTGAAAGGATGAGAAGTTAATCAATTTTGGGTCACTCTTAATCTTGTTTCTGCTGACTGTAGAAACACAATAAATAAATAGAAACAACTCTATTCATTCATAGAAAGCAGCTGGTTGACTGACATGGAAAACAAATATCATAGTTGCATTTGTGGGCTATGTCGAGGTCAGTATGGGTTAAGCTGATATGCAATTGCAATGAACATCCAGTTGACAACTGATCAGATGGACTGTACTGTACATCTGTCGTGTCAAATTAAACTTGTTGGTTAGAGTGTAGAGAACTAAGAGATCCAATCATGTCCTTGGAAAGCTGAGCTAAAGGTTGGTTTCTGAAATATTTGGGACTTGCATTAGTACTGCCCCTGGAACATTTAAGGATTGCTGGTCCAGCAGCAGTTTGAGTAAACAGAGCACCCCTCCTACCCACTGGGATACAAACTGTTTTAAGGTCCTCCAACCAGTGAAATATCCTGATTAAATTAAAGGCAAAATAGCATTGGTCAACAAATAAGTCAAGAGATGCCAGCAAGTTAAAAGGCAAAGAAAATTGAAAGTCCAACAGACTTGAAGAGCTATAGACAGCAATATTGGATCACAAGGAGTGCAACAAAATGTAAGAAGCTATGGTCAACAAAAGACCAAAGACATCTTTTTCCGTTAGAGACTTTTTTTTATGTATAGCTTGAGGGTAGCCACTTCACAAGCAAGGGGAAAGGTGAGGAGGCAGATCTTCACAAACTACCACAATCACGACGGTGATTGAACTGGTGTTGTTGTCTTTACTCAGTACCACACTTTAGTCATCTAGCTGGCTGAGTTAATGGGCCCGCTTGTAACTTGCAGGTGCTATTCAACCTAATAGCATTTTTTTCAGGCATGTATCAAGGGAAATAGTGTGGTAAGAAAGCAGGTGGGCTTGATAAATACAGGTGCAAATAAAGCTATAAGGAATAAAAGAAAATGGCAGACTTGATTGTTAAATGAATCCTTTCTATACATTTTCATAGTGGGAGAGGACGGAACGATGCTGACAACTCAAATTAATTTAAGTGAAGCAATATAGTTCATTTAAAATACAAGATTGAAGATTAAGAATTCCATAAAACCTGCTGATCCCCACACCCACCCGGCATTAAAAGGAATGGATGAAGAAATTCCAGATATATTAATCATGATTCTTCATAGCAATTTGGCCTTGAATCACAAGGAAAACTATATTTGACTTGGAAAAGATATAGTACACAAGAATAAAGCTTATAGTACAATAATACATTTACGGCTTCGTGGCTTTTTCCCATTGATTTAAGAAGATTGAATGTTATAATTGAGGTATTTAGAATTAAGATATTAAACTTTTTTGATTGTATCTAAATTTGAGAGCATTGAAAATGCAATGAAAATAAATAGATGATCTACTGCATGTAAACAGTGACCTGATGAAACTGCAAGGAAATTGAGATTCTTCTTCCGACCCAGCTAGATGATTTTATTTGGAATTGTAATGGAGACTGAACATGGTGGTGGATCAATAGTACATGTTTGTACAACACTAAGGGTGGAAAATCTTGTGTTTTGTACACAGAGAATCTCTGTTGTGAAAGACGTCTGCTTCACTTCTGCCATCTTATGTTTCCAAAAGATAAGGTAGGCCCTGAGAAGGGAACTGTGGTTTTATTGAATGGGTATTCCAAAGTAGAATACTGAAATGACACCATGACATGCAGCTCCATACCATTCAGGGAATCACTGGAGGAGGCAATGGCATGGTGGTAATGTCATTAGACTAGGAATCCAGAAACCCAGACTTAAGTACTAGGGTTATGGGTTTGAATCCCCACCCCACCAATGGAAATGGTGAAATTTGCATTCCATAAAAATCTGGAATTGAGCTAGCCAAATGGTGACCACTGCTGGTTGTTGTAATTTCCCATCTGTTTCACTGGTGTCCTTTAAGGAAGAAAAGGAAATCTGTTGTCCTTACCTAGACTGGCCTACACATGACTCCGGACCCACAGCAATGCGGACGACTCTAATTTGCCTCTGAAATGGCCCTAGCAAGCCACTTGATTTAAGGGGCAATTAAGGATCGGCAATAAATGCCAGCCGAGCCAGCAATGCCCATATTTCATGAATGAATACAAACACTGTCTTTCGTAATCTCTGTGTAATGTTGATCATTTTTCCATTCAATTTATCAAAGTGTTGAAGTATGATCCTTTACCATTTAGCAACATTGGGGACCAATGCCCTTAGTGGTTGGCATCTAAGAATTGAACAGAAACAAATCTTCATAATAGGAAAAGATTTAGCCTGCAGTTGTGAAAAATATAATTTGCCAAGAATGAAACTCTCTCTACAGTACTACAGCAGACCCTCAGGAAAAGCTGAACACCATCATGAAAACGTATCATGAGATTGAGGGCACAGTGACACGAGTGCTAAAGAGGCAGTACAGTCTCTCCATGGATGACCTACTACCGTTGCTTGTTTATGTGGTTTCTAGGGCAAGGTAAGAGGTAGAATTTCACAGCACTGTGATGGTTTGAATGAGTCATAACATCTGGGGTGTGATGTGTTTTGGAAAGAAAGCATTGTTTTGGGATATCATTGAATAGTCAATATTTTGAAACTAATTGGGGCATTACTCTAAAAGAATGTAGATAGGAGCACATGTTCATTAACATTAGATAGTGAGATGAGGAAAGCTTCTCCCTAATTAATTGAATAGCCTTCCCATGAATACCAAATTGATTGTGAAATTATTCTTGGACTTGCGTTCCCATTTCCCTATTCAACGGATTCTTCCATCTGTCAATCATTGATGAGGCTTATAGGTTTGAAGCTTGTCTTTCACCTACTTGAACCTGTGTATCTTGTCTTATGTTCACATTTTAATTGTAAATAATGTCTCGGAACATAACCTCAGAATTACATTTACTGTGCATTGTTTTGGTGACCACATCTAAGGAAGAATCATACTTTTGTTGGAAATGGTACAGAGAATGTTTGTTCACTTTGTTCCTTTAATGAGGAATTGTTCTATAAGAGAGGCTGAGTAAACTGAGACTGCTCTGGGGTTTGGAAGAATGGATAGGGATTTCATTGAAACACACAAGATTATGAAGGTGCTTGACAGGGTACAGGTTAAGGGTCAATTGTTTAGTGTGAGATGAGAAATTACTTTGATCAGAGCATTTTGCATCATGGAATTCTCTACCTTAGAGCATTGTGGATGAGCTATTGTTGACTATATTTAAGATTGAAATCAACAGATTTCTAATCTCTCAGGGAATTGAGGTATAGGGAGAGGAGGAAGGCAAGTGGTTTATCTGATGCAGCAATGTATATGTTATCTCCCTTAGCATAAAAAAACTGATAGACATCTTTTAAACAACTACAAAATATAAACATCACATTCATCAGGTACATTGATGTCTGGGATAATATTAAACAGAGGAACATGCTTCCAATAGAAAATCATGCTTCAAGTGATCTGAGTAAAATGGAATATGACAGTACTTGACACATTGATCTCACAAGATCATACAACAGACCCTTTTTGTCAAAGATTAAAAACTAATCCCAAACAGGGATACATAGTCGTACATGGGCATGTGCCGTCAATTCAATAATTAGACAAACACGTAAAACAGAATTTATAAGACTAACATTTCAAAATTCAGTGAAATGCTTTGGAGGATTGACAACTCGCCCTGATCTAGAGATTGTATACTTGTCTGGGGAAGTACATGTTGTCCTCTGTTGGACTTGTTTGGCAACTTGGTCATCTTGTTGCTGGTTGCTGTCACTCGACATCACCACACAATCATTATCATCATGAGTTCCCTTCCTCACTCTCTTTGTGCATGTTTGGTGTGTCATACACTGATCTCAGTTGGTTTCTCCTCCTTTGCAATGTATGACCATGATCAGTCATGACTTTATGTGGCCTATGCATATTTTTAGAAACCTTTACTGGCATCCAAGTATTTGTATTTCTAACTCTCATTCTTTGCCTGATGTGCAGTTTTGTTAGTTCTCTCTACCTGATCGTCCCTCCTGTATCCCTTTCGTTGTGCTATGTCTTCGAATGGGTTAGGCAATTCATTGCTGGTCAAGATTGTTCATAATTGCTGTCCAAGCATTGGCTGTGACAGGTTGTTAGTCCCGTCTCCATTGCTGTAATTTGAAAATGCAGCAATGTAATGCGGAAATCTTGCTTTGCTTGATACTTAATCACTGATTTAATAGTATGGACAATTCTTTCTGTTAGACTGTTTGAGCATGGACATGGATCATTATCCACTTCATATGCATATCTTTAACGAGTTAGCAGTGCACTCAGGTCTGTTCTGAGACATTATCTAATCTGGGATACCAAATAAATTGAAAATGATGCTCATCATATCAACAATGGTTACACCTGTTGTGTGGCTAATTTGCCAAACAACGGGAAATCTGTAGAAGTAATCTATCACAAATTTGTCATCTACCTGTGCACTGTGAATAGGTCTGTTACGACTTTTATCCAAGAAGTGGGTGTAACACTGTGTAGTTGTAGAGGAACTCTACATGCTGGGGTTGATATGGTTGGCATATCACATGCATTCGGAAGTTGTTGAATTTCCTGTTTCATCCCTGGCCAGTACACAGACTCAAGTGCTAGCCTTCAAGTACATTTGATATCCATGCGTCCCTGCTGTAACATGGACATGATATCTTGGTTAAATGCTTTGGTATTAGAATTTGTTTGCCCTTGAAAATGACTTGTGATATACAAGGGTCATCTCTGTAAAATCAAAATTAACAAATTTTCTCATGTACTCCTTTAATACTGAAAGACCATCCCTGGATAATTATCTTCTACAACTCCTGTAGTTCCTCATTTTCAGCAATTGCGAACCGTTAATGTTGACTCTGGTCAAATTAGGAGTTGTAGGGGTCACCAATTTAAAACAGAAATGAGGTGAATATTTTTCTGAGGTTGAGTCTTTGGCTCTCCCTGAAAAGACAGTGGAAACAGAGTTCTTGCATTTTGTTAAGGCAAAGGCAGGTACATTCTTGTTAAATAAGGTATAGGCATGTGAAAGGATATCGGGAGTAGGCAGGAATGTGGTTTTGAGGTTTCCATTGTATCAGCCATGACCTTGACAGAGAAGGTTTAACAGGCCATATGGTCTATTACTGTTCCTATTTTACGTTCTGTGGACAATCCATTGCAATTACCTGTTCCATTACCCAGGGAGCATGACAAAACAGCAAAGAGGGAGTTTAACTCTGTCTAATCCCTGTTTTAATCCCTTCAAGAGTGACTGATGCGATAGCATGGAGGGATATTTGTTATGTTTTTAGCCCTTGATGTAAATAACCTTGAGAATGTTTGATGCTTATTCCATCAAAATCTAACTGTACCTAATCTAGGAATGCTTAATCAATGTCTCATCCATGCTTTGACTAACCAGGGATTGTTTAGAAAGAAATAATAGTCATTTGGTGAAAATATTTTAATGTAATGCAGCTGACCAACACTAAATTAACAGAACTGATTCATATTTGACTTTTCCCTTCACTACAGAATCTTGCATTTGGGTGCAGAACTCCACTTGATACGAGACATGATGGATCCTTCCACTGAGGGCGGAATGAATGACTTCTTGCTTACTGCTCTTGATGTGAGTTAGTGTAGATGGCCAAATCTCCGTTAACCGCAATCTGTTCTGGTGATATGGAGCTAGTATATCTCTTATCTAATGTTGAAGGGTGTTTTATAGGAGATGAGGGACCACCTACTGTCAGTGTACAGTTGTCAAGCTTTAACTCCAACATGACTTTCAGAATTTTAATTCCATATTGTTATTGACACGAACCAAGAATTTTTTAGATGTTGTGAAAATGCAACTGATTCACCAATGTCCTTCGAGGAAATAAATCAGCCTTTACTTGCTGCCCTATATGCAACTCCTGCGATAACATTGACCTTTGGGCTGGATGGTCTGTTTCTACACTTTTTCTAAGAAAATGTTCTGGTGCAGCATTGTAACAAAAACAAAAAGTCAAAGGATTAATGGAAACTTATCAAAATTAAATCAAAATATCATTATCGAGAGTAATGATCCATTCCAGCCTCTCGCAGAAAATCAGTCTTTTGTACTTTCTTTTTCAAAAGTGACCTAACAAGACACTCAGTAGCAATTGGCGACAGGCAATAAGTTCTGCCTCTATGTTATAGAATCATATAACCCCTACTGTGTGTAAACAGTATTGGCCCATTTGGCCCATTGAGTCCATACGGCCCCTCAGAAGAGCGTCCCACCTTGACCAACCCTCTGCCCTATCCCTGTAACACTGTGCTTCATAAAGGCCAACCTACCTAACTGCACATCTTTGGACTCTGAGAGGAAACTGGAGCTCCTGGAGCAAGCTTTATGCAGACAGTCAACCAAGGCTGGAATAAAACCCATGTCTCTGGCGCCGTGAGGCAGCAGTGCTAACCACTGAGCCACCATGCCACCTGTGTCAGTGAGAATGAATTTTAAAAACAGAACTTATACTTTTTTTGTTCAAAAAGACTGGTTTGAGTCAAGGATGAGAATTGGCAAGAAAAGTTAACATTTTTACATTGCGTTATGTCTAAAACTTTCCAAAGTGCTTTATATTACTTGAAATGCAGTTACTGTCGTTTAGGTAAACACGGCAGCCATTTTTATATATAAGGTCCAACAAGCACCAATATGATAAATAACCAAAAAAGTTTTTAGGAGAAATCTCTCTTGCTCTTAAAATGGTACTTTGAGTACTTTAATCATCAATCAAAAAACATGGACACTGTCAAGTAAAGCTGCAGAAGATACAATTTCTAACAGTGCAACACTCCCTCTATGTAGCATAACAAGGTGTAGAGCTGGATGAACACAGCAGGCCAGGCAGCATCAGAGGAGCAGGAAAGCTGACGTTTCGGGTCTGGACCCTTCTTCAGAAATGGGGGAGGGCAACGGGACTCTGAAATAAACAGAGAGAGGGGGAGGCAATGATGGAAGGTGGATAGAGGAGCAGATAGTTCGAGAGAAGATGGACAGGTCAAGGAGGCGGGGATGAAGCCAGTATAGGTGAGTGTAGGTAGGGAGTTGGGATGGGGGTTGGTCAGTCGGGAGGGAGGGGCGGGTAGGTGGGAGAAAAGACGGACAGGTCAAGGAGGCGGGGACGAGATGGGCTGTCTTGGGATGAGGTCGGGGGTGGGAAGATTTTGAAGCTTGTGAAGTTCACATTGAGACCATTGGGCTGCAGGGTTTCCAAGCGGAATATGAGGTCCTGTTCCTGCAATCTTCGGATGGCATTGTTGTGGCACTGGAGGAGGCCCAGGATGGACATGTCGTCCAAGGAGTGGGAGGGGGAGTTGAAGTGGTTTGCGACTGGGCGGTGTTGTCGTTTGTCACGAACTGAGCATACGTGCTCCACAAAGCAGTCTCTAAGCCTCCGCTTGGTTTCCCCGATGTAGAGGAGGGCACACCGGGAACAGCGGATACAATATACCACATTAGCAGATGTGCAGGTGAATATCTAGCACCTAGTTTTGGATGAGGAAGGAGTGTTAGGTAGATGTCGCCCCATGCTGCACCGAACGCTCCACCTTTCTAGCGCATCTGGACAGGTTTAACATAGTTTCTGAAAGACAGTATCTCTGATTGTGTAGCAGTCCTTCAGTCCTGCACTGGAGTGTTAGTCTGCATTATTTGCTGAGTGGCAGGAGTGGAATTTCACCTATTTTATATTCTGAGGCATAAGTGAGTCATGTTAACATCAGACTGGGATTTTACATTTTGAGAGTTGTAGAGATAAAATTGTTATTATCCAGATTCCCTCCTCAAGATTGGGGGTGTAAATCTTGCTACGGAGCTTGTGTAGTTAATGAAGACTACTGAATGTGGATTGCATCATTAGAGGAGCTATCTGCTGGTGGAGGCACTAAATCAATGTCCCAAACCCCTGTTTGTGTATTTCAAATGGAATGACATGGATAGCAAAATCAATTGATTTTCTTTAACTAACGAACGACATCAATAATAATTGATTACTAATCATTTGTTTCATTTTTATGGGCAAAATCGCCATATTTATTTGTCTGAAAATAACCACATTTCGAAGTAATTGTATATGAAAAACAATTGCATTTATGTACAGCTTCTTATGATCTTAGGATGTTCCAAAGTGTTTCTAAAACGTTGTAGTATAGAAAAAATACCATTCATTTTGTGACAGCAGTGGGGTAGGTGTTCAACTGTTTTGCATGTTGGTTGAGGAATAAATGTTGGTCAGAAAAAAGGGGAGAACTTTAGCACGCAGATTTAGTGGGCTGCAGGGCCTCTTCTGTCCTGTATGATTCCATCACTGCTCTTTAAACAGTTGATGGGATTTTTACATCCATCTGAGAAGGCAGATGGTTACACAGTTTCATGATACCAGCTGTGCTGAAATGCCAGTGTGGATTATGTGTTCAAGTCTCTGGAGTATGAATTGAAACATTAATTTTTGATTCAGAGTTGAAACTGCTATTATTGAGCAGAGGCTGAACTTGGGAACAGTTCACAATGATGTTATGTGAACAAAACATTTTATGTGGTTAGGTTTTGCTCTAGGCTGATACAGATTACCTTCTAACTGCTTAATCTTGTTTTATTGCAGTCTTGCTATCAGCACCTTCAAAAAGAGGAAATACGGTCCAGGAGTTTGCCTAAATAATGTCTAACAACACAAAAAAGAATATTTCGACCAAGGAATGCAAGATGAACAACACTACAGAAACATTAAAGAGTGTGCAATTGAATGCAGAGATAGTAGGAACTGCAGATGCTGGAGAATCTGAAATAACAAGGTGTAGAGCTGGACGAACACAGCAGGCCAAGCAGCATCAGAGGAGCAGGAAGAC